GATTTTTTCTTGGGCGTCTGTGTGTTCTGAACTCAGGAGTGCTATGTCGTCAGCGAAGTCTAGGTCTTCCAGAATTTTGTCAACCCATGTAATGCCTAAATTTGCGTTATTTATGCACTTGCGCATGAAACATATTGAAAGACAGAGAATGAAGTGGTTTGGCCATTTAGTAAGAATGCAGCCGGATCAGATTGCCTATAAGGCCTTTTACAGTAGAACATCGGGAAGAAAGGCCAGAGGAAGACCCAGGAAACAATGGATAGATGGAGTAGCTAAACACGGCCAGAAGATCCAGAAAACTGTCACTCAAATCACGCGAGAGGCTCAAAACAAATATTTTAAACCACGACACTGGGCTGCAACCCGGTAAAAGTGAAGAAGACAATAGATAGATAGAATATTTGAGGGGACCTTTGGAGTATTTCAGTCGTTGGGATCAGGTATAGAGCCTCAAGCCCAAGCCATCCACCCCTTCCCTCTTGCCACCCGCCTCTCACCCCAGTATATATTTAGAGGCCTAGCCAACCTGTCCTCCTATAAAATGTGCAAGGGGTACAAGAGTCCTCTCCCCCCACCCACCACCAAGTATAGATATTGTCTTTTTAAAAATTATTTGTTTGTACATTTTAAATTACTTTACATATATTCATATATTTAATAGTTCATCAGCACAGAGTAATACTTTTATTAAAATTCAAAATAAAAAAAAAGTATTACTAACTGTTGTTACTAAGAATTGAACAAATACCTCTTTAACGATTGCAGTAATAATTTAAAGGACTATTGGAATAACCAAGTTAGGTGTGAAAAGATCTCTGGAATACGTAAGGAAACACACATCACGAGATGGTCTCATTTACTGCTCATTGTCTTCAAGACACAAGTGCGTCACTCAACTCATTTAATATAACTGAGGCCATCTGCATACTCTAAGCAAACTGTGTTCTAGACACAAGTGAGTCACTCAACTCATTAAATATAACTGAGGCCATCTGCATACTCTAAGCAAACTGTCTTCAAGACACAAGGGTGTCACTCAACTCATTTAATATAACTGAGGCCATCTGCATACTCTAAGCAAACTGTGTTCTAGACACAAGGGCGTCACTCACCTTCTGTTCTTATGGTTGAGGCTGTCTGCCCACTCTAACGAGAGGGCAGAGTCGGAGGCTGGGGCTGGGGGAGCCAGCAGAAACTTCTCCTTGTTCTCAGAAGATGAACTGGTGGTAGTAGTCATCTTCTTGCAGTCCGCCATCTCTATTTGGGCCTGCTTACTTATGTGCTGTTTGGTCACTTTGTCAGAGCTTCCAGCAGAAATGAAGATTTAATCTCATCGTTCAGCGATTCTTTCTCTCACTCTCTCTCAGTGGCAGAGTATATTCTGTTAGACATTAAGAACGCTGGGTAATCAATCTTAGCAATTGTTTCCATTCTTCAACAGATGTTGTCCAGCAAGTGTGCTCTGGCATCGTTTTGTTCTTCTGGAGTCATCAGTCTGTAAAGGGACACAAAGAGTTTACTCTCAAACAAATACTTAAATGTCAAGGAGAGAATGTAATGGCAAAAGAGGACATGATACACAGAGGCGAAGATTTAATTATAAATGTAAGAGAAATGTGATTGGCATGAAATGTGGAATAGGCAAGACGGATACCTTGAGGTCATCAGAGGTTAGTATCCCAGCGTTTGATGACCGTTTGTGGTGTTGCTTCCAGTTTGCCAGGTCCCACTGAATGGGCGGACCTTGATACCGTATACACAATGAACGTAAATCGATCAGCTGCCAAATCGCCGACAGTTTGATACCGTAGAAAAAAAAAATAATAATGAACAAACTAGCACGTACTTGGGTGTCCAGCTGATCACGCATCAAAGTGAGGCGCTGTCGTCATTCGGAAGAAGAAGGTTCGATTCCCAGTATGGTTTCAAAACTTTGGAATTTTATGTTGCTAGCGAGTCCTGTCATTGGCTGTTTTTTAAAATTGTCATTTTACAATGTGAATTTATTTATTGACGTGAATAACGAGAAACAATAAACCGCCAGACTTGATGATAAGCAGGAGGTTTATACCTGGCATGATCCCATTCGTAGTCCCCATGGAATGTGATTAACATACCCCAGGACAGCACACTTGAACAACTGACGGAAAGATGGCAACGACAATGCACGAAGAACGAGAAAATTCGCCCAACATTTCAGGACAAGATTTATCCAAAGAAAACTCGCACTCACAGATATATCCAGTCAGGCACCAATGACACTGCGCTGCTACAATGAAATTATCAGGCACAATCGAGAGCAGCAAATTAGCTGGCGCACCGGAGTGTGTTATTGTTCTTTGATCCTTCTGTCAGAAACTTTCATGAGGGGGTCAATTGCGCTGATGAAAGCTAACGTGTGGTCCATACCACCCAGTATACGATACAAATTTGCCTTGCCTGAAGTGGGAACAGGCCAGATGGTATCTCTATCTGCAGGATACAGTTGACTGTGCTACAGCACATGCTCAGGATTTTCAGGTGCCAAGGTGCAGGGACACATTCTTACACGAGAAAAAAAAAACAAAAAAACTGCTACATGTTAGTCAAGTCTGCTGTGTTCTGCCTTAGTCTGAAGACGATAACCTACTCCCGTCTCAGTGGGGGCGATGCAGTTTTGGGTGCGGTAATCCAGTCATCTTTATTGAATATCACTTTTTAAAAAAATGAGTTCCATTATGTGTTAAGTCTCAATGTATTTGTCAAAGCCGAATCTGGTCAATTATGACGATAGATTATAATATTTGAATTCTACATACACCTGTTGAAGTGTACTTTTTTTTATATTTGTGCTATAAAGGATTGAAATGATTCCACCACTCCACCACCTCTCTCTCTCACATACACACACCCACACATAAACACTCATCCATTGTGTACTACGTTAAGTTTCAAACCTTTCATTTGCACAAGTCTGCAGTTATGTAAAGGTCCATTCAATTATCTTTGTCCTACATCACCACCCGATACATGTTCCTTGGCCTTCAGACTTCTTTGTCTACAGTGTGTTATCCCTGTTCCCTTTCTACTCTTTCCTGTTCTCTGTTTACAACAATTTACAGATGTGAAATACTTGTATTACATTAAAAACAGACACCACTTGTAACAGAGAAGGGGAACAAGCAATGTCGATGTTTTCTGAGCTCAAAAAACAAGCCGGAAGTTCTTTCAATTATTTTTCTACTCATCTTTGCAAGGGCATTTCAAAAGCGTTTTACTTTCGTTCTAATATTTCTAGTGAAATATTGATTTATGTCTAAACATGGTGTTTTTTGTAGCAATAGTAATAGTTGTGGTAATACTAATAGTTAACTGTAGTAGAAGAGGTTGTAGTAGGAGGAAGGGAAGAAGGAGGAGAAGGAGAGAGAGAGAGAGAGAGAGAGAGAGAGAGAGAGAGAGAGAGAAGGAGAGAGAGAGAGAGTGAGAGAGAGTAGCAACTTCGTATGCTTTTGTAGTACGAATGAACGAATGAACTTTTTTTTCAGCGGGTGGGAATTGGACACACAGACCTGTCTTACATTCTGCCCTTCTGCCCTCAGTCCATGCATACATTACTCATTCACATATGGTCTTAGCAAATGATAATAATAATAACAATAATAATAACAAGCATCATCAACAATATATTAGTAACAATGTGCTCTGAGTATGCCTACATTTAAAAACAATTTAAACACTAAGTATAACCAATCTTGGCGGAAATCCACAATATGCTTAGGCTACATGTAGTCTGTAGTCAGATAATCTTCAGAAAGCTTCAAATTATTTACATGGGTTGTTGATATTTTTGATTTGTTGTTGAAGTTGACTCCACAGATGAGCTTCAGAGTACGCCAAGCTTGTTTTGTACAAGTCTATTTTAGGTTTAGGGATGTGTCAAATTTTTAGGCGTTTGCTACGTCGCCATTTTACATAGCAAATGTCCAAAAGTAATCTGAAGCATATTTTGATAAGATTTTGTGAATAACTTTGGCCTTATTGAAAAGTAATCGTTTAAGGAAATGTAAAAACTTTGAATCTTTATGTGTACTGGAACTGTCTCTTTCATGATTACTACTGACTAAGCGTAGAGCTCTTTTATGAAGTGCTTTAAGCCGTTTCATGACTGAACTTGGACAGCCATCCCATATTGTGGAGCAGTAGTCTAGATGGGTCTGAATATTGGAGGTATAGAATATCCTAGTCGTAATAGTAGCACCAGCACGCCAATACAACATGTGACGAGTGCATTATCTAGTAGTTAGGCAAGATCAAATCGCATGGGTAAGCGTAAGCAGATAACGGTTACACTGGAAGGGGTATCAGGTGATGTTTTCCCCTCGTCGATTCGCTGTTTTGAATATGCGTGCGCAGCAAGCGTTGTGGGTATCAGTACCTCGTAGTTTAACACATGTGAGACAGTTTCTGATCAGTTCCGTAAGCATACAGCTAGTGTTCTTTTTCGCTATATCTGAGACAACGAATTTATAATAAATAGTAAATAATAAAAATGAATAGTGAAAATGTTTTTTTTTTCTTTGGCGGTGAGAAGCATAAGGGGCGGTTACAACTATTACATGCAGGAGCTCACTATTGAATTAACGGTAAAGTTTGTGCTACCTCTAATCCACTTCCAGAATGAGGTAACTACAAAGAGAGCACAACAACAGGGGCTAAGTGGTCTCGAGGCATGGCGTCCGCCTCCAGTGCTGGAGGTCCCACGCTCAGGCCCTAGTAAAGGCTGGGATTTTTTCACATGGTTTCCTAGTAATTTCCTCTGGTCTCTGCATAGTAGGATCAGACGCCCGTGTGTATTGTTGCACATGCAAACGATCCCTTGGCAGTTGACTGACTTTTTACCTCACCAGGACATCACATAAGCGATAAACACCCGTAACACAAAGTGCCACCATGCGGATGAGGATCACCTGTGGAGAGGTCCTAGAAACCCCTTTCAGATGTTAGGCCCTATCTATGGCTAGGCCATATCTATGACGTGGCTATATTCAGGGCCCCCGGTAGAAGCCAGGGCGGGGCTTTAAATAACGAAACAATTACATAGGGATGACTTTCATATTGGTATATTTCACTGGGCAGTTGGAAATCGAAAAGGGTATCTTAAGGGCGCTGCCCGGGCAATATTTGAATTTAAAAACCTACCCAAAGTTTTTCAGGATCACCCCCCTCCCCTCCGGTGCTAAAGAATGTGCTCTGGGATTCTTCGGACTCAGGCTTGAGTTAAAAGTAGAACTTATGGGTTACTACCATTGTGCCATGATTTTGATCCGTTGCATAAACTAAAATAATATAAAACAATAGAGAGCGAAACGTTGCTTTTGTCCCTTTCAAAAACCTTTCAGAGTGTATCCGTTTCTTCTTCCATCAAACAACTTATCTCCCCTGTATATGTCAGCACTCAAATCTAGACTTGCGTCAGAACGTGAATGTTACGAGTTACGTCAATACCTAACCAAAATTACCAGATCTCAATATTGGCAGCAGTATGTTCACGTGATATGCAATAAACATGTCAATATTACTGTACTGATAAAGAAAGAATTACCCTGTTTAACGTGATGTTTACATTAGAAACACGGGGAATAATTCACACTGACGGGCTAGAACTCTTACTGTGTTTTTTTTTTCTAATGATAATAAACGTGTGTGAATGACTGGCAAGTTGCAATGAAACAATAACCTTTTCAGTACAGCTTCAACTCTTTATCTTCTTTTTCTTTCGAGAAAGTTGCTAGTTATCTACTAAATGTTTCAATCTGAAGCAATTAAAATAACAATATGAGATCAATCAGTCAGGTGACGCCTCTACGATGGAGCTTGACTAATGGATTGCCAGGGCTAACTGTATGCTTACAATATTTCTGTTTTAATCAGTCTATCAGTAATTCTGTCTATCTGTTTGTAGGTATTTGTGTCCAACAATATAATCTCTATGTCCGTCTGTTTTCTTTTTTCTCTGATATTTAAAGTTACCCCGCTTCTACAATTTACTCAATCCATTTGTCAACAGCTTCTCATTCATTCATGGAAGACACATCCCTAACTTACATCTACCCACACAGCACACCACCCCTACTTTCATTAATTACCACCCCCCCCCCCGTAACACGACTTTCACAACACACCTACCGGAGACATATCCATCAACAAAACACACCTCCCAGATACATATGCATCTACACAACACACCTCCAAGACACATATCCATCTACACAACAC